CAATAAATAAATAAATAAATCAGTCAATCTTCCCTCAAAGCCCAGGCCAACCACACGAATGTTTTATGTCTTGACATGGAACCCTTGTGACAACTGGGCAATACCATATGATCCAGCTTTTAGACAAGGTTTGGCTTCATTCTATCCTGTATTTTACTACAATGTCCCTGATTCACCCTAAAACAAAAGGAGACACCCCTCCGTGATAAGGAATAGAGCAAGGCAGTTCTCAGTCCTGCCTGGTAGGAAAACACTGCTTTGAGATAGTTTCTCATTCACCTTCCTCTTTTCAGTTAAGTGTGGCTCTTTTTAATTGGTCAGTCCCTTAGGACACAGATGGAGGCTTCTGCAGAAATCTGTTGGGTACGGTTGAGAGCATCTTCTCTATGTACCTGTGATTACAGCCTGTGTTGTCTGTCGGCTGGGCTGTTGTTTGATGTTATCCTGTAAGACTATGGGTGTGGGGATTTGTTATCATGTTGCTCTTCCTTCTGTTGTTTGTGACATCTTTTGGGCTTGTTGTCTTTATACAAAACTAATATATGGAAATATGGAAAAAGGTCAGACTAATATTCATAGTTATGACTCTAATACCACTACAAAACTGTTTAACTTTTGTTGATGAATTCTACTAATATTTGAAAAATAAATACTCCTAATCCACCCTTAGAAAATACAGAGAGTAGCCGGGCATGGTGGCACACGCCTTTAATCCCAGCACTCGGGAGGCAGAGGCAGGCGGATCTCTGTGAGTTCAAGGCCAGCCTGATCTACATAGTGAGTTCCAGGACAGCTGGGGCTACAGGGAGACCCTGTCTCAAAAAGACGGAAAAAAAAAAAGAAAGAAAATACAGAGAGCAGAAAGAAATTACCAATCTTAACCATTACACTCATGCCAGTTGTTCTAAGACCAAAACCGGATGAAGACATCATGAGAAAACTGCAGACTACTCTCTTACTCATATGCAAAGATGTTAACTCCTTAATAAAATATTGATAAAACAAATGAAACAATATTTGCAAAGGCACACCATAGCAAAGAAGAATTAATCTGGGTCATACAAAGAGCTTTTGGTCATCAGATTCTGCTAATGCAACAAAATCTATTAATAGAACAAAAGACAAATTCACTTAATTACAACTGATACAAAGACATTTGAAGAATCAAACAAACATAATAAAAATGCTTAACACGGTTTATATGAAAGGGAAATATCTCACCTTAAACATTACATATATAAAATTTCACTGCTGAAACTTTTTTTCCTAAGATTGGAGAATGTCTAGTCTTGAAGCTCCTATTTAACATTGACTCGAGTGTCTAAACTTGGATGATGAAAATAAAGACAACCAGATTGGAAAGTAAAACATATAAAATGATCATAGTTCCAAACATGTTTTTTTTACTGAGAAAAATCTCAGAAATGAACACCCATACCCATACACATAGAATCTGCTAGAACTAATGAAAATGTTGAGGGTTGCAACATATAAGATTAATAAGTAAATGTCAAAATGAAATGATAATACCATCAATGGCAATAAAATACGTAGGAATAATGTCAACAAAGACGCACAAGTCTTATACACTGAAAACTTCACAAGCTTACTGAGAGGAGCTCAAGACCTAAATAATTGCTCAGGCATTTTGTGTCCATGGATTCAATGTCTCTGTAATTTCAATGTGATAACTATAAATTCAAGAAAATCTTCCCCAAAATTGAACCTGGCCTGAGGTGGAACCTGATCGTGTGATCCTAAAACTTGTTTGAAAATGCAATTGAAGCATAATGCCAAAATAATTCTGATAAAGTACAAAGATTGAATACTATTTGATTTCAAAATTTACCATAACACTTACTCTAGAAAACAGACATTGTATAGATGTAATATTGGCATACTGACAGGCTTACAGTTCAGTGGCTCTAGTTGACAGAATAAGCCTTTGTATTTATAATTATTGTTTTTTAAATAATGATTTTATAGATACATAGCACAGGTTCCATTAAATTTATCCTTTCAAAGTTCACTTATTTGGAGTATCTTCAAAGAGCTGTACAATCGCTAGCATTATCTGAAATGAGATTTATCAGCCCCTAAAGAAACTCTCTGGCACCTAAGGTTTACTGTTTGCTCACCTCCCATAGCCCTGAGCACCCACTTACCTACTATTAATTTCTATTTATTTGCCTTTCTTACATATTTCATATAAGTAAACTTATTCAGTGTGAGGTCTTCTGTGATTGACTTCTTTTACTTTGAATAATTTCAGGGTTCACCCATATCGTAGTATTTATCATTTCATCCTTTCTTTGCATTGCTGAAAAATTATTTTACTGTATGAGTATGTATGTATGTACTGTATGAGTATAATTATCTATTCTGCTGAGTTGTTTATCATCTATTCTGTTAATAGTCATTTGGGTGGTGTCCACCTTGGATAATTATGAATAATTTTGTCCATATTCATGCACAGCTCTTTGTGAGTAGAGAAGTTTCATTTCTGTTAAGTATTTGAGTGACATTTTTAGATTAGGATAACTTTTTAGTTTTCAGAAAAATTGCCAAACTAATTGCAAAGTAGCAATACCATTGTTCCTCCAAACAATGGATAAATGTTTTCAGTAACACTTGCTTTCTTATGTATTAGTTGGGTAACCTAATAGATATGAATAGGTACCTCATTGTAGCTTTAATTTGCATTTCCTTCATGCTAGTGATACTATCTTTTCATGCACCTATTGATCTTTGCAGAATGTGTATTCAAATACCTTGCTCACTTTTAATTGGGGGCATTTATCTTTTGATGGTTGAGTTGTAACTGTACTATTTTAGATTTTAGATGCAAGTATGCCATGATTTTATATGATATATAAATATTTTCTCTAATGTTATGGATTGTCTTTTATCTTCTTCATCATCTCCTTTGAAGCTATATATTTTTAGTTCCAATGAAATCCAATTTGTTCATTATTTGTTCTTTATACTCTTATTGTCCTGTGTAAGAAACCATTGTCCAACCATTGGTCATGAATGTTTACTTGTGTGTCTTTTTCTAAGAAGCTTGTAGGCATAGGCTACAATGCATTTTGAGTTAATAAAGTCAAATCTCTCTCTTTTTTTTTCTTTGCATGTGGATGGATATTCAGGTGTCATTTGTTGAAGACCATATCTTCATTGAATTGTCTTGGCACCATTGGTAAAGACTTATTGTTCCTAAGTGTATATACTTACATTTCTCAATTCTATTGTACTTATCTAAATGCCTATCTTTATTCCAACACCATGTAGTTCTGGTTTCTGTTTCTGTGTGTTGTTGTTCTTTGCTTGTTTGCTTATTTGGGTTTCAGTAAGTTCTGAAATTGAGAAATGTGAGTTCTTAAAGTGTGTTCCTCTTTTTTAGAGATTACTGTCCTAGTTAGCACTGTCAACTTGATGCAGCCTAGGGTCACCTGAGAAAAGAAGTCTTGATTGAGTAATTGTCTTCATCAAGCTGATCTGTGGGCATATCTGTGAGAGACTGTTTTGATTGTTAATTGATATATTGGGACCCAGCCCACTATGGGTGATATCATTCCATGGGCTGGTAGTGTTGAGGTATATCAGGAGGCTAGCTGAGCATGAGCCTGAGCAAACCAGAGAGCAAGCCAGTAAGCAGTCTTCCACCATGGTCTCTGTTCCAACTTACTGCCTTGGGCTCCTGCCCCAATATCCCTCAATGATGTGGCTGGAAGTGGAAGCTGAAATAAACCGTTTCTTCCCAAAATTGCTTTTAATCACAGTTCTATCACAGCAACAGAATGAAACTAGAATAGCTACCAAAATATTCAGGAACCTTTATATTTTCATATAAATTTTAGTGTCAGTTTGGATTCTTGGCAAAAAGACGAGGTTTTTACAGCAACTGTATTGAATTCACAGATCTGTTTTTCAAGGATTGCCTTCTTAATCACACTTGCTTCCA